TTCCAATTCTCAGTGGAGTGAGAGTTGAAGAGCTTGCCGGTGTAGTACGTGTTGTAGCCAGCATCCTGAAGCCAGACGGGGAGATACTTGTCGTTGTATCCCTGGGAGACGAACTTCGGGTAGCCGCCTATGATGATGTTTAGGATGCTGTCACTCTATTGGCAGTTGATGATGCCGACTTACCGTGAGGGGGAGTGACATATGTGACGTTGGTGTTGTGCGCCGCCTGACCCGTCAGCAAGCTGACACGAGACGGACAGCAAATTGCAATCGTGCAAAAGTGTTTGCGGTAGTAAGTTCCCTGCTGAACGAAATGCTTCTGGACATAGGGCATGTAGTCAAGGGAGCCGAGTTGCTCGTCTTGGTCATCAGTCAAGATGAAGACAATGTTCGGCTGACGCTGTTGCACGTTCCAGGCGAGGACAGCGGTGGCCCCGAGGGCCAAAGTTGCCAAAGTCGACAGGCTAAGATTTGGCAACATAATGAACTCTGGAGTCAGTGCTCTTGCAACTTCACAGAGATCTGCTTCGAAAGCAAGCAGATACAACAAGATACAACAAGACACAACAAAGCCGCCCTGAGATTGAAATGTGTGCCCTCAGACACTGCAAAGTAATTTTTATATGCCGTGCGTTATTTGTTATGAGTGACGCAGCACCTCCATTGACGGCTCCCACATTTCAGTCCACTGCAACGGCAGGACCCTTCCCCCAAAAGCTAGCAAGAGAATCAAGCCTGAGCGTGTTGCGGTGTTAGTTCACGGGGCCCCGGTAGCTCGGTGGTATCGCTGGTGGGTCGTCGGACGGCGCCCGCCCATCGATCGACCAACCGGCTGGGCTCCAGGTCAGCGAAATGGGTATTTCGACAATGGCAACGGCATTCGCAATCGGGTCTTTGGATTTCGTCATTTGGTCCGCTAGCCTATTTGAACCACGATCACCACCTTATCATTATACCGAAGACCATTATTTCGGAGCTGGTTCCAGTTCGAGGGTGGGAGCAATATGTCGGGGCTCCGCTCTACATCGAAGATGCAACATGAATTGGCATGGCAAACGGGGGCTTTATGTTGGTGTATTGCCACGGGAATCACATAGTCTGTTCAAACTGGAAGCGTTCACATTGGTCATTCCATTTCAGTCTTAGTCTAGCCAATCCATAGAGTGAGAAGCCATCAACCAAGTGTAGTCAAGTAGCGGGGACTGTTCACTACTAACAAAGTGGGACAAAAGCAGAGATGAACTTGACGTTGGACAGACGAAAGTCTGTAGAGACTATGAATCCAACTTTGATTGATGCCAATGAACTCAGCCATTGAGAGATGACATCGTTTACTCGGTAGACTATCTGAGCAATTTGTCAGGGCAATCGAGCAAAGAATAATTCGATGTGAAACCACCTCCAAATTACCCTAACTGCTTCACGACTCTTCGGGTCACATTCAAGGTGTAGGTGGCAAGCACTTGCTAAGATTGACCCGTGAAGGTTGGAGGTCTATCGGCAATCTTAGTTCTTGTTCCTGTATTTACTCACTGGCGACACAGAGGTTTGCGTCAGGGACTAAGGCAATCGATTTCACGAACCTGTGATTAATGCAAGTCCATGAGGAAGTGAGTAGCTACACCGATACCCGGATCAAGAATGTTTGCTGAGACCAGGAAGTTGTCATTTTAAAAGCGTGGCCACGAGAAAGAGAGTACATCGCCAGAAAATTTGGTATTGATACAATCCAGTCTCCGGCCCAGACCCCTTGAAGTCGTTAGCAAAGCAAATGTGGGGTAACAAGGAAGATATTGAAAGCTTTCTCACCAACCCCGACTAGCATCGGGAAGGAAATCTGATGAGGGGAAGAAAAATTGATGAGAACTTGAAACTTTGGCAAGAGGTTTCACAGAGAACGTCGCGAAGGTTCAGATCCCATCAGAGTTTCTTGGCTCCTATAAAATCTTCCTAGACGGCATTACGAACTTCTGAGGCACCTGCAAAAGTCGCGATTGCCCAGGACGAATTCTCGCCGCGCTCGAAAAAGCCTTGATTGATTGTGATACAACTTCCGCCGTCAACCTGCCCAATCAGTGATTGGTCAGCAGATCTGGCCGGCTGGCGCAATGGTAGCGCATCAGACTTCTATACCGTCGTCGACGTGTGGTCATCTGGGGGTTGTGGGTTCGAGCCCCACGTTGGTCATTCTTTTGCTTTCGGAAGAAATATCTAGATTTTTTGCTCAACAAATATGCAGTACCGCTGAAATTTTTAGCCAAACTTGAAAAATACTTGGTGATTCTGTAAGAGCTCCTCAAAGTGCGACAGAAGCCAATTGGGTTGAGGCAAAACTTAGTGGGGTGCTTGCAACACAACTAGGATGATGGGACTTAACGAATGACACAGGACGCTTGAGGGTTAGTACGCAGCAATTCCTTTTCAGAAGCTTTCGAAAGCTGACAGTTTGCGACTGTTAAGGAACAAGTTAAGTTGCGGATTCCAAGTGTATTCCGATTGCTTGAGGTAGGAACTTTGGTACAGATTGCCATGTCACGGGCGGTTTTCTTTAGGTACCTAGTGTGTTCAATGTTGTCGACGTCATGCCGCTGTGTCCCAATGTGTCTTTCCTCAGCAACGTCCGCGTCCGGCGCTGGTGTGGATGGCCACTCACCGAGCCGTCACCGAAGGTGACCCACTTAAATCTCATGGTCGCATAATCGTCAACCGTCCGCGTCAAGCTCCAGCTCAGCTTCCTTTCCCACGGCAAGCTCCAGAGCCCAAATCACAAAATGGTACGTCTTCGTGCGCTCCCTCCGAATAGGCAATATCCGGAAATTGCCTCAATTGTCGCGCAGCTGTCTCGTGCAATGAACTCCAAGCGCGCTGGCTAACGCAGCTGTCGCAGTTACCCCTCGGTCTCTTGAACGCCGCCCAAGGGCACCCTATGCTCGTCGAGCTGAAGAACGGCGAAACCCTCAATGGCCACCTGCTCATGTGCGATACCTGGATGAACCTCACATTGAAGGAGGTCGTCCAAACGAGTCCGGTACGCGCCGCCCGCGTCGATGCATTGCCCCCATGCCCCGCGCCAGACCACTGACGAGCACATAGGAAGGCGACAAGTTCGTCAAGATACCCGAAGTTTACGTCAAAGGAAACAACGTACGAATACTCAGACAGCGCAAAGCCCGGTCACAAGCGACATGCTGACGAATCCCTAGATCAAATACCTACGAGTACCCGACGACATCATTGACGTTGTGAAGGAGAACCAACAGAACCAGCAAGGAGGATTCCGCGGTGGCAGAGGTGGATCGAGAGGAGACCATGGCGGCCGCGGAGGCGACAGAGGTCGGGGCAGAGGCCAGGGCCGTGGAGGTAGAGGAAGAGGTAACCGTGGTGGTGGTGGGCAATGATGATATCCCGGACACGATCATGACGAGCCCAGTTGATACACGGCTTCCAGCGGCTACTTTGCACGATTTGCAAGAAGATTGCGGCCTCCAGAAGGCTATAGACATCCACATTGGACGTCTCACACGAAAAGAAATCCGAATGCGGATGCCATTCGGAATTACAAGGCCATTGGATCAGCATTGCGTTTTTGGCCTTTGGCCGCCCGCCTTGGGAGCACGCCTATCAACATAATCATTTTACGTTTAAAAAGCAAGAAGAGATTCCCATGAGACGATGCTTCTTCATATGCCAGCCGTGATGCTTGTGCATGCTCGTCGTCTATCGCGAAGCGCATTCAATGTCGGGTGAGTCACGTGATCCACTTTTGCACCGGGATTATCTCGGTGAGAGAAGCTCCGAAAAGTGCAAGCTGCAGCTCTCCAGAATTTGTATCCCCCGTGCCCAGCCGCATTGCCAGCTCCATGTCGGGCACTCGAGTAGTTTTCGACGGCTTATGGCGCTGTCTCTGCCCCTCTGTCGATACGCAGGCTGCGGCTAGGCTTCTCAATTCACAGGTCGTTCCCAGAACACGGCTTGCGACACGCCAACGAAGTCACCTTGTCCCATCCGCCCACCATCCTGCGAATCGAACACGATGTCGAAGATACACGACCAGCACATCTTCAGTCGTGCAAGCAGAAGGACACTTGCAGCCTCCTGATAGCGGAGAGACAGTTGAAGCCGACGCAGCTCGACAAACAGAAGGGTCGGAATCCGTGGACGACAACCTCCCCGCCGTAAATGAGCAGCTCCGAGCAGCCCCGCTACCTGCAATCCTCGATGCCTTGGAGGTCCTCCGGGGCCAGCCTAAGAGCTTTAAGAAGGTCGCAACAATCATCACGTATCTAGTGCGGGCTAGAGGTGTTGAGCTCAGCCCGAAACTCTACGAGGACTTGATCGTTGCTACGGCCGATGTTCAAGGATCGGCGGCGTTCCTAGCACAGCTTTTCGCGGAGATGAAGCGACTGCAGTTTACCACGTCGCCTTCAATATCCCATGCCGCGTTGGCTGTACGTTTCCTCAATGCAAACCGAAGTGCCCCTTATGCTGACGACCATAGGCTCTTGCGATACATCCTGATTACCTACTTCGAAACGAGATTCTTGCAGCCATGAAGCAGTCGTGGACTGAGGTCGATATCCCAGGACAGGCCCACGTCGCCCTTGGGCTACTCCGCGACGGACAAATCGAGCTTGCTTTCGACGCAATAGAAAACCTGATTCACAAGCAAGTACCCATGGCTTCATGGGTCTTTGACATCTTCATTTTTACGCTCGCCCAGCGCGGATTCATAGATGAGGCGATCAAGCTGGTCCATAGCAAGGTTCACTCTTCTGATAGCAAGACCGACGTAGCGTTGTGGTATTCGCTGCTCGACAATTGCTCCGAGGCTTACCACTACGAGGGCACACGATACATATGGGGTAGGATGCTGGTGAAGGACAAGGAGCAGCTTTCGGACGGTGTCCTACTCAACATTATCAACACGGCAGCCAGGCAGAACGACTATCAGCTTGCCACAGGGGCTGCGCGGCTCGTCACGCAGAGAGGTGGAAAACTTGTTGCGCATCATTATGAGGCGCTGATCGAATGCTACGGCGGCGTCGGAGATATCGTGAGCGCATTGCGGGTTTTGTGCATCATGTTCAAGGCCATCTCAGTTGCGCCATACGCCAGCACCCGTCCGATCTACCAGAGAATCAAGAAAGAGCCAGAGAGCATCGACCCAGCTCTTAACACTCTTACTGAGCTTGTCCGCAGCTACAAAGTTCCTATCGCCGCGCTTAATGTTATTATTGAAGCCGCTGTTGAAACACACGGCTTCGCGAAAGCGTTGGAGATTTACCAGAATGCGCACAAGTATACCGAGGCCAGCCCTAATCATGTCACCATTCGCTACGTCCTCCAAGCGTGCGAGGACGTAGAAGCTCTCAAAGCTCTTGTTGCGCAGAACCCAGAGTTGGCGCTGAAGGGTGACCGCACCGTCTTTGCGAGGGTCGTGCATGAGTACGCCGTGGCTGGTGAGCTGGACCTCGCGTATAAGTGTGTGAGATTGTTCGGCGAAGCCCCTGCGCCGGCTGAAGGGCAGGAACCAGAACTGGACAGCTTTTGGATTAACCGGAAGACGCTACTTACCCTCGTCAGGAAATCCCTTGACGTGCAGGACGTGCGGGTTTGGTGGTTGATTGAGCAGGCTGAGAGACGGAATATGGACGTCCAGTCGGGCTTGTCGAAGGTGATGGCATCCGTTGCTGATGAGATCAAGAGAAGCTCCGGGTTGGACCGAGAGGACACCGAGATGACATATCGCCTCCCATCATAAAATGGCGGGTTCGTGTATATTTTGTATTACCAAGAGTACTCGCATAGACATCTTCCGAGAGAAGGTGTGCCGCACCCGGATCCAACCGCGGCGGCTGTATACTATACTTTGGCACAACCTAGTCAAATCTACGTTGCAGAAGCCTACAATCACCGGCCAAGTCGTGAACACCATCTGTACTCATACGGGGTGACTCATTGTCAGCTTATAGCGTCGCAACCTTATCCCGACCACCGTGGAACACACCGAGAGGCACCGGAAGTTATCTATGTATCCGATTTTATCAATTTGGATCCGGCCTTCAACCCAGCATGCCGGCCTGCCGGGCCAATATTTGACCATCCCTTGACGCGCTATTCGCGAATCCAAGCACCCCTTCGTTACAAGTTTCGTCTATTGTGTCGAAGAAGCACTCGCCGTCCCATTACATCATCATTAACTGTCTTCCATTGTCTCATCAGCCGGCACAAGCTATCAGCAGTGTATTATGAATTCAAGCTGGCAGCCTGCCGAAGGCTTTGTTGCCGCCGACTGCAAGGCACTCTTCAACGGCTTGGCAAAAGCCACCGATTAATAAGACATGCCATCTCAAACACAAGCATCGTGCACACCAAGTGGCTGAATCATCCTTGGGATAGGATTCAGTTCAAAGTTCGATCCAGCTAGACTTAAGCATCTGACTGGGCAGCCAATCAGATGCTGCATAAACGGGTATCATTCAAGGGTTCCGGAGCTCGCTGATAAATCGTCCAAAAGCCGGACGCGGATTAGTGATAATCTTGAGTATTGTCTGCTAGCTCGTTCTCTCCCCTTCGCCTCCACGGAACTGACTGGCACTAGCAGCGAGTACTTTCGCGACTTGTATGCACACGCTATCTCCTTGACTCTAGCTCCTAATTCCAAAGCCCGCCAACTTTGAGGCACGCCATCTCGTTGTTCCTCAACGTCATGTCAGCCCTAGCACCGTGTCTCCCTATCACTCTGGTCGGCAGAATCGACGGGGACGCGCCAACTCCAGACGGACGAGAACGGACAAACCAATACCCTGTTGACACGGCGCGCACGTTTAGATCTTACCCTGCCCCAAGGAGAGACAGAGATTTACGACGCCTGCTTCCGCGGGGAGGGGGGGGGCACCCCCTTCTTTCTCTCAAACGAGATAGCCATTTGCACCATCTGGCTGGTTCGCGCCTATCTCATTCCGGCGCATTCGAGAAACTTAAGCCCGGCTGTGATTCATAATGCTACACGTGCTAGAGTCGCGCTGCATCGTAGTTATCGCTCGTAAGCCCGATGCCGTGGACGGACCAAATCTTGGCCCTGATCGGTCATCAGGCTAGCAGTCATGTTGCTTCTTTGGCCTTTGAGTGTTGTCGACGCCAATGTTTGCTTGGCGAAGATTGAGATGATGTTCAGTATATTAGAAGCCGTGATGTCGGTATCATCATCGTCTGTTTCCCTGTCAATCCACACGCTCATCTGTCCAGGCTTATACCCTCAACAACTGAAGATATCTCAACAGCTTCAGACGCAAGGCAATCCCCAACAAGCACTCTAGTTTCCCAAAGCCATCAACGTTGTGTACAGTATACAACCTCAAGCCACATCATCATCAGCCGTTCCAATGGCGCAGTTAATTCGAGATGCCCCGGTGGGCCAAATCATCCGCTTCATCACACGGAATAAGTTCCTCCAATACCCAGAAGAGAAGCCCGGCTTTCAACTCCCGCAACAATGGCTTGACGTCCTCAACTCTGAGAAGTCTAGCCCGGCAGAAGCAATTCCAGCCGACGCCGGTGCATCACCCCGGTCCTCCGAATCGACTCACGCCGCCGACGAAGAGAACAAGCTCTCTCAGAAGGAAGTCGAAGACGCCGCGCCCTACGGCACCTCGCTCCAGCGGACTCGGAGCCGGGAGGAAACGGTTCCGTACACGGCAGACCGGCTCGAGGTCGACGAGATCCACGAGATCCAAAAGATCCAGAGCATTCCTATCGCACCGAGGAAGACGAAAGATGGTGCCATTCTGGTAGACTGGTACTTTAGCGACGACGCCGAGAACCCGCAAAACTGGTCCAACGTGAAGCGTGGGCTCATCGCCGCCATCATCTGTATCTACACCTTTGTCGTCTACATGTCTTCGGCGATTTACACGCCCTCCATCGAGGGCGTCATCCACGAATTTGGCGTCGACATGACTGAGGTCTCACTGGGTCTGGCGCTGTTCGTGCTAGGCTACGGCATCGGTCCTCTGCTCTTCTCGCCGCTTTCTGAGATCCCTCGCATCGGCCGCAACCCAATTTACATCGTCACCATGTTCCTCTTTGTGATCGTGTCGATTCCCGCCCCTTTGGCTAGCAACTTCCCTGGCTTGATGGTTCTCCGGTTCCTGCAGGGTCTCTTCGGCTCGCCGTGTCTGGCTTCAGGTGCTGCGTCTCTGGGAGATATGTACAGCCTTCTCAACCTTCCCTACGCCCTCATTGCTTGGGTAAGTACTTCTCAACTTTGACATTCGTCATGCAATACCCAGCATACTAACTCTCTCAATAGGTGTCTGCAGCATACTGCGGTCCAGCTCTGGGACCTCTCTTGTCAGGTTTCTCCGTCCCCGCCATGGGCTGGCGCTGGTCCCTCTGGGAGATTCTCTGGGCCGCCGCTCCTGTCTTCCTCGTCATGTTCTTTTTCCTCCCTGAGACCTCGACGCCCAACATCCTCCTCCGCCGCGCTCAGCGTCTCCGCAAGTTGACGGGAAACGACCGCTTCATGTCACAGTCCGAAATCGAACAGCGCAACTTGAAGACCTCGGCCGTCGTCATTGACGCCCTCATCAAGCCCCTCGAGATCACAATCAAGGATCCCGCCATCCTCTTCGTTCAGGTCTATACCGCCATCATCTACGGTATCTACTACTCCTTCTTCGAGGTGTTCCCCCTCGTGTACCCAGTCTACTATGGCATGTCCATTGGCGAGATCGGCCTCGTCTTCCTCTGCATCCTCGTCGCCTGCCTCCTCGGCATCGCTGTCTACGTCTCCTACCTTGCCTTCTACATGGTGCCCCGGATCAAGAAGTTCGGCTTCCCGATCCAGGAGAACCGTCTCGTGCCCGCTCTCCCCGCCTCCTTCGGCCCCACCATCGGCCTCTTCATCTTCGCTTGGACAGCGTCCCCGGCCATCCACTGGATCGCACCGACCATTGGTATCACCGTCTACGGCGCCACCGTCTTTGTCGTGATGCAGTGCATCTTTGTCTACGTGCCGCTGTCCTACCCACAGTACGCCGCCAGCCTCTTTGCCGGCAACGACTTCTTCCGCTCCGCCTTCGCCTTTGCTAGCATCTTGTTCGCCCGCCCCATGTACCAAAACTTGGGTGTCGCCAGGGGAACAAGTTTGTTGGGTGGACTTAGCACCATTGGTATCCTTGGAATCTGGCTGCTTTACTTCTATGGCGGTAGACTTAGGGCTCTGAGCAAGTTTGCGGTTTCGTCTGACTAGGAGGGTTCGGAATGAAGTCTGGGGGTTTCTGATTACAGCGTGGCTTTTGGTGATGATGACATAGCATGGCCTTACTTACCTTTACTTCTGCTTTCCATGTTGGTTAGACTCTCGAGACATAGATCGACTAAGAAATCATAGAGTAATATCGAAAGCAGAAATCTACACAAACGCCATTGACAACGTAAATTGACTTTACCAATGACGGGTGCTGGTCTTTGTCGTGAATACTACCAGTGGCCACGCTGTATATCACAAGCTCCGGGATCATGAGGTGTGCAATCTCCAACAAACCTTGCAACCACGAGCCGGTACCGGATCTGAGCGACCCGATTCATGTCGAGCTTCTTCCGTCTCATCTATCCCCACCGATCCACAAGTCTGATCCCGCAACCTCATCATCGCGCAAAGGCACTAACCGAATTAGGGCATTATTTTGAGAAACTTGACAGTGCAGGGGTTCCTGACGTGGCTATCGTGACCAACTTCCGAATGCTCTCTTCTGAGACGAGATTGATTGCTATCGGCGTGTTCAATGGGATGTATTGTTCTGCATGCTTTAAGACTTTTCTCCTGATAAGTCAAACTAAAGAAGGGCAATATCTAGAGAGATGACGACTGAAACGTGATGTTTGATCGGGACAGGAGCAGGGGAGGAGCAGGTGTTGGCCAGATGGAATAGGAAGACGGCAGGTATAAAGAAGTAGGTTGATCGCATCCCAAAAGCCATGCAAGCTTAAGCAGCAGTTTCCAACACAAAGCACGAATAGAGAGTTTTCAATCAATGGCGAATCCCGAAGCCTCTACTTCCCGCCCCTCCATTGCGCGATGCGATGCAACGGATCCATCAACCACGACAGAGAAGCTCGTCGAGATTATCAGCCGTGATGGCGGCGTCATAGTAGAGAAGTTGATCGACCGCCAGCTCGCTGCAGAGATCAAGCGAGACCTGAAGCCGTACTTTGACGAAGACATCCCAGACAAGTACGGCTTCTTCCCAGCAACGACGCAGAGAGCATCTGGTCTGCTGGGGATCTCAGACGCCTGCGTAGAGCTCGCGTGCAACCGCTTATATACTGATGTTGCCAATGCTCTGGTCTCTTCATCGTTCACCTTCTGGAGGGGCGACAAACAGAAGACTGTGAGCGGGAAACCCATCATCTCTTCGACGGTGGGCTTCCGGGTGAATCCGGGAGGGAAGCAACAAGTGCTGCATCGTGATGACAAGTGAGCATCCTTCCGTCTTCATGTTTAAAGCAAAGATTCTCTAACGCGAGGCACCCAGTGATTACCATCCTCATGACAAGCAGCTGCCCGTCTTGATTGGTTGCGTCACCGCCTTGACGAAAACAACAGCAGCAAACGGCGCGACTGTTGTGATTCCGGGTTCGCATCTATGGGGTCCCGAACGTCGTCCACTCGATGAAGAGACTATTCCAGCGGAACTTGAGCCCGGCGATGCCTTGATTTTCCTCGGGAATCTGTATCATGCGGGCGGAGGAAATGTCACCACGTGAGTACATCGCCGGTGTGTAGCAAGTATTCTTTGCTAACTTCTTATCGATAGGGACGAATATCGGGAGACTGTTGGCATCTTCCTGTGTCAGCCGACACTGCGTCCAGCAGAAAATCAGTTCCTCATGGTACCGTTTGAGCGAGTGAAGAAGATGAAGCCCCAGGCGCAACGTCTTCTTGGGTATGGTTTGTGCGAGCCAGGTGTTGGGTTCATGAAGTACCAGGACCCAATGCGACTGCTCTTTGGTGTAGAGGACGAAGAGACAGTCGATTTCTAGTTGTCTCCAGTCTCTGTTGGTAGAGTCAAATGGCGTTGATGTTGCTCATACCACAAGGACTCGCTGCCCTATGGCTTCTCTCATTCGAGCGAGAGGACGCCAGTCGTCGTTTTCTCCGGCCCAAAACTCCTTGAGAAAATTCACCGCGTCCAAGTAGTAGCTGAAACGTGTGCCCTCATGGATCGCCGTGAGCAAGCCCGCAATAGTTTCTTGTCGATCCGGATCTCCATGGCATTCGGTACCGGCAATGAACGTTGGCCAGGCTAGATTCTGAATGAAGGCAGCTTGGTTTTCGAATGCAGCCAATTGGTCGAACAGACTGGCAACGGCCACAATGCGCTCTGATGCGTGCTCGATGGCGTAGTCAAGGCATCTTATCGAGTAAAGCAGCCCTGCGCTATGATAAACCTCGACTAAACATATGAAATCACGAGACATGCTTGATCCTGCCAGCCCGAGTCGTCCGGCCGCCATCAGCGTGGCGCCTCTTGCCTGCTCAAACTCGGATCGGATGAGAGTCATCGTGAGGCCGCTATTGAAGCGTGAGATTGAACGATGAGACTCTACAGCATCCGTAGACACGAGCGTGACGCGGTGCAAGAAAGTCAGATACCTCGAGAACAGCAGATGATCTGAGCCGGGTGCCGGTGTGACGGCGTTCCGAATGAGGGGCAGGTCACACGATGTGGTAGCTGCCAGTACATCATCGATGGCCAATTGGTTTCTCAAGAAAGCAAACAAGTCTCGGTTGTTGATGGAGTTCTGGCCTTTGAAAAGGTTGACAATCGTTCTAGCTGCGCGTCTGTGATCATCGGCGATTTCAAGGCGGCGGCGGACATTCTCGTAGTTGCACATGATCAGAATCGAGGCTAGCATCCATTCTGCATCAGCCAAGTCGCCATGATTGCCCAAGTCATCGCCCTCGATGAGCCGTGCCGTCATATCCTGAGCGCGGGTTTGTATCAGATGCAGGCATCTGTCGCGAGCATGCTCGACGGACTCATCAGGCAAGGCCATGGCGCCGTGTTGAGCCGCGAAAGCCATGATAGCGAAGCCGATTGCTGGTTGATTCGTGGCAAGGGGCACAACTTGTGTACGGTAATGATTCTCATCTGAGTCCATCCATACCATCAGACCGGCCAAGTTCCTTCTGTAATAGTCCGTGAACACCCTTGTCAGGGAGTCGGGATAGTCGCAAGGTTGAGATAGTTGGGCGATCGGCGTATTCAGTATAGCAACCGAAGTCATGAATTCTTTCCTTTTGCCCAGCATGGAGCTTTCAGAGCAGATGTCCTTCGAGTCATCTTCTCGAAATGCTGTCTTATCTTCAGATGACGGCCTCGTCGGGATCGTTCGGCCCCGCAGATGTCCCCTTGCGGCAACCCCTTCCACCCATCGAAGTTGGCGGTCATAGCCAGGGCATGAGATTCTTTTCTTGTCACACTTGGCGCAATGGGGTTGCCGTCGATCGCATCGAATTCGACGACGCTCACAGTTGGCGCAGCCTGGGGAGCCGATCAGCACAGGGCACAGGCGACCGGCTGAAGGAGGGGACGAGCATTCGACGCACCTTTGACTTGCTTCGCGGGCGCTTCCACAGTAGACTCAGCAGCACCTCTCTGAACTTTTCCTCTCTGTCATGCTGTCAAAATCCCATGGCCATGATAGTCGTGATATAAATCCTACTCGAATGAGTGTGCGATGCCTGGTGAAACTAGCCTGCGGTTGGAGAAGACTTGTCAACTAATTGCGGGGTTCCTGTCCCTCGACACCGTCTGGTCTTCAGCCACGATCCGATTGATCAATGGGGGTGCACCCAGTGCTTCGAGTCGCGAGGTTTGCACGCTAAAACAAGGCCTTGAGAACAACTCATTGAAAACAGTATTTGGGTCGATCTAAGGTTCCAAAAAGCCAAAAAGCAACTAAGACATCCTGTCAAATAGGTGCTCCATTTTAGCAACTTGACATTTTTCAGCGCACACGTTCGAGGCGAGTCATTTTGGCTGGGTACTGAAGAGGAGACATGAATTATGAAAGTAATACTACAGTACCTATTTCTCCATGGTAACATTGTCTCTTTTCTTCGTTCATCCCGTCGGTCCGGATTTTCCCTGCCCCTCCTTGTCATTTGTGAGAGTAATAGCAGGTGTTGGCCTTGTGTTTGCCATGCTGACTCAAAAAGGATCTGGTCAATTGCGGCGTAAGGTAGGCTGGCACCGCGTTTTGTCGCCTGCAGCAACTTCGTGCAGTTGACAATTACACCAATGATCTGTCAGTGGTGCCTAAAGTCTCACATTTCGTGACCTCCCTCTGACCTGCGCCGACCGCTTCTACCTCTCCTCCTTCAACAGACGAGCATTTGATATACTACTACCTACCTCCTCTCAAGCTTTAAACAGTGAGCGGATCGCTATGGAAGATGACTACATCCAACAAGCTAGAGTCTCCCCACATTGGTTATCCGAGGGCAGCGCCTTCTGGTATCGCCAGAATCTACCAGCCGGCAGGTCCGCCTTCATCTACGTCGATGCCATAGAGAGGCAGCGACGTCCAGCTTTTGACCACGACAAGCTAGCAAAGGCGCTTCAGGATGAAACCAACCAAAAATATAGAGAGATCGACGCTTTCAAATTGCCTTTCACATGGATCGACCTTGAAGCGAGGTCATCTTCCGTCCGATTTCTCTACGAGGGAAAGAAATGGCGTTTTGACACTGAAGGAAACCTCAGCAAGTGGGAGGGCACACTCAATCTGCCCACGACGCCATTCATCTCCAAAGAACATGCATCTGTGCACTCGAACCACTCCGTCACCATCACTTTTGTCAACAATACCAAGGCGGACTTGAAGAAGTATTGGATAGACTGGGAAGGCAAGCCAGTACTTTATGGAGGGATTGGGAGTGGATTAAGCAACACTCAAAGAACTTATGCCGGCCACGTCTGGAAGTTTGTCGATGAGTCGGAGACCGTTAAAGCGATCTACGCCACACCTGAAGAAATTGCCTCGTCTGTGGTGATTGATGAAAATACTATGGAGGAGCTCGGTCCTCAGAGCTCAGCAGACGGTGCTGAAGAGAGAAGTGGCGAGGGAACGAGCCCAGAGTCAGCCTCGAGCGAGAAGGGCTCGCCTCACCTCTTTGTGCGAGATTTTGACCTTTGGAGCCGGAATGAGGACGAGGAAGAGCTGCGTCTTTCGGACAACGGTGCCGAAGACAATCAGTATGATGATTCAAACATTTGGACATCCCCAGACAAGAAGTTCTGCATCGCTTGGCAATTTGTCCCGGAAGAAGAACATAAGGTGCATCTTCGTGACTCTGTACCGAAAGATCAGCTTGAGCCAAAGGCGAAAAGCATCCGTTACTTGAAGGCCGGAGATCGAGTCAGAGTTGATCGTCCTCGTTTGTTCAACCTAGGGACGAAGAAAGAGGTCGTTACAGACGCTACTTTGTTTCAAAGCCCCTATGAACTTCGGAACATAGGATGGAGCCGTGATTCTTCCGAATATCGCTTCATATACAACGAACGCGGCCACCAATGTCTACGTGTGATAGGAATCAACACATACGGGTTTGTTAGAGCTCTAGTTGAAGAAAGAAGCGACACGTTCATCGACTATTCCACGAAACTCAACCGACATTTGATAAAAGATGCCAACGAGTTCATCTGGGCTAGCGAACGAGACGGCTTCAACCATCTTTACCTCTTCGATCTTCAATCAGGGAAATTGAAGAATCAGATAACAAGAGGGGAATGGAACATGAAAGAATTTGTTCGTTTTGACGAACAGGCGAGAGTTGTCTGGTTCTCGGCATGCGGAGTAGTCCAAGGTCAAGACCCATACTATACGCACTTGGCCCGCGTCAACTTCGATGGGACGGAGTTCAAAGTGCTGACCGATGGAGATGGTACACACCACTGGACCATCTCTCCGGGGCATAGATGCTTTTTTGACACGTGGTCGCGAGTAGATTCACCTCCACGCACCACTCTGAGAAGTATGGAAACCGGAGAGTTGGTCGTACATCTCGAAGGCGACGAAGAAGATTCTCGTCTTTTGGAAGCAGACGGCTGGGTGACCCCTGAGAAATTCAACTGCCCCGGGCGAGACGGTGAGGAGTCCATCTACGGCATCATCATTCGCCCTCCAGATTTTGATCCCAAGAAAAAGTACCCCATCCTCGAGTCCGTTTACGCAGGCCCGCACGGATTCCATGTTCCAAAAGAATTCAGTGCTCTGCGCTCGCGCCGACAGTGGGCAGAGCAGGGGTACGTTGTCGTTCAAATTGATGGCATGGGAACGAATTGGCGATCAAAGAAATTCCAAGACGTAAGTTGGAAGAATCTCAAGGACGCTGGGTTCCCTGATCGCATAGCCTGGATCAAAGCTGCAGCGGAAACTCGGCCGTGGATGGACACAGACAGAGTTGGGATCTTTGGGGGATCGGCAGGCGGACAGAATGCCGTGGGCGCACTTCTATTTCACGGTGATTTCTACAAAGCAGCCGTCGCCGATTGTGGTTGTCACGATAACAGAATGGACAAGATATGGTGGAGCGAGCAGTGGATGGGTTACCCAGTTGACAAGGCATACGAGGATTCATCGAATGTGGTCCATGCTAGCAAATTGACGGGAGCGCTGTTGCTAATAGTCGCAGAGATGGACGACAACGTCGATCCCGCGTCTACTCTACAGTTGGTTAAGGCTTTGAATGATGCAGATAAGGACTTTGAGTTTCTTTACATGCCTGGGGCTTATCATTGTTCAGGCAGGACGAAGTATGCTCTCCGGCGACAGGAGAAATTCTTCAGACAACATCTGCAAGCATCTCAATAGCAGCACGATGCTGCCAACTTAAGAGTCTGTTGATAAAACCACTCATTGGGAGGTATGCAGAATATACCACATATAAATGGTGTCAGCTATTGGTTCAACCTTCCCGAGCTTGAAAAAGAGCTTTTCTTGGATTTGGGATCTCTCGACACTAATTCTATTATGCTACTCTATAAGTTGTGATTTGCATGTCAGGCTCTAATACAGATGAAAGTATAGGGCTACCGATGATGTCGCTACATATATGCTCAGATCAGGCACCCTGATAATGTCAGATCTTTCGTGCTCGAATCAAAACCTGATGTTCCGGATCTGGGAGCACATTCACGCCAAATTCCACGTTCTTGGACCTCGGCTGTCCATCCAAGTTCTTGATCTCATAGTTCAGGAGGAACTCCGCAAACATAAGCTTGATTTCAACATCGGAAAGGAATCTGCCCGGGCACGCATGCCTGCCGAAACCCCAACCAAGCTCCGTACGAGTGACGCTGACAAATGAATGCTTGTGTGCCATCCCTTCCTTCTGGCGTTGACGGTACGACCGCATGCCATCAAACTTGTGCGGATCGGGATAGATGGAAGCGTCAAAGTTGATAGCGCTGGTGGGTAGTTCCATCTTTGTACCGGCAGGGATGTAAGTTCCGTCCTTTAGAGTCACAGGTTTCGTGGCCATGCGCTGGAAGGTAGCTTCGAACTTGTAAGAAACCGGACTTGAATTCTTGTGGGAAGACGCCGACTTACTCAGATCAGGTGCATTCATTCTCAAACTCTCCTTCATCCAGCTGTCCAACTTCTTCATCTCGGCAAGTGACTGCTTGGTAAAAATACCACCAGAACTCTCCAAGACCTCCACAACCTCCTGACGAAGCTCTTCCGTGTACTCAGGGTACGCAGCAAGATCGTACAAAACTTGGACCATGGAAGACGAGGTTGTGTGGATACTCGCCACAGCGAGGGTCATCTGCAGCAAGAGCTGTAGGTCCAGGTCACCGGCCTTATCTGCGTGATCCCCGCTAGACAGGTGGTCGAGCATCGTGGGAGGGTTCTCCAGAGATGCACCGCCCAGGGCATTCTTTCTGGCCATGGACTTTGCGACAATTTCGCGCCCTTGAGCCCACTGTTTCTCCTTCTCTAGGCGTTCCGGAAGGAAGTAGGCGACGAATGGACGCAGGAAAGGAGGCCACTGCTTGAGAGCAGAGCCATAATCGATTGCGGTGTGTACGAACGACATTGAGAGATTGGTCCATGCTGGATTTCGGGCTGCTTCATCGCTATGCATGATTCTTGCGGATAGAATCGCTACAAGCTCGAAAAATTGCTGATAGGGTTTTACTGGTGTCCAATCTGGACAGGAATTAGACAACGTGATGTATCATAGGATTGTGGATCATACCTGTCGGAGACCCAAGAAACTTTGGAAGGTGTTCTTGGATCATTCCATGGAAGACAGGGACGTAAGCACCTATTTCTTTGATCAATATTGCGCTCTTGGGAAATCGTAGAGGGTCTTAACAAACCCAAGCTGGGGTTCATCTTTGCTAGAATCTGATGTACTCCCCAAGCGTCGACACCTCCAATACCCGTATAGTTGACCAATGCATCCTAGAAATTAATGTCAGCATACTTTATGACTTATCGATACTGAAATGAACTTGCATTGTCGATCGAGGCTTTGAAACTCAATGCTGGGTGACTCTTGAGTTCGTCGACACTTGCAAGGGGCAAGACGACCTTGACGCCTACAAAAAGTTAGAACATCGCTCAAGTTCTGCGAAAAGGGAACATACCATCCATGGTGTCGATTCCGAAAGGCTTGCTCTTAAACTGATCAGTGCATTAGTTGTGAGACGCACTGCAATCATTGTACCACTCAACCTACCCGCTCATAGTACTTGTCGAGTAGCTTCCTGGCGTTTGCGCCGTATGATCGTTTTCTGTTGAGGATATCGGATACCTCTTCGGAAAGTGGCGTAGGTACTTTGAGTCTCCGGGTCAGGACTTGTGACAGTATCCCCAAAAGCAGCGATGAAAGTATCAAAAAGCTTGCCGTTGATGACAGATGGTGCCAGTTCAACAATGAAGCATCGATGCGAATCGCCGTGGGTAATAGGGAACCCATTTCTGTGCAGTTTGAATGCTTGAGGTTAGGGAGAAAGGATATCAAAAGAGCTCTGGCGAGAAAAGAAGGCAAAATTGACTTCGAGCACTGGCCGTCTATGAGGTGATGAAGGTTGCAAGTTTGTCTTTATAAATGTTTAAATGTTGAGAACTAACTGTGGTTGATCCATGAGCATGCCTTTGGAAATTTGAATAGACTTTAAATAAGCCTTTTTTTCAGCATAAACATCTTGCTACAGAGCGCTAGTTTAGACGATGAAGCGTGTCGTGAACTGGGTGGATCCGTGAACTGGACTGACGCAGATCGCACCTCTAGGCGGACTCTCGGCACGCACCGAGTCCTTCATGCCAAGTAGCGAGCGCGTCATTCAGTTTCTAGAACTTCAGGTCTCAACCATCTCATATTCTGGTGAACTTCAGGGGATATCATAGATACTCCGTGTCTCAGTTCGGTAGCCGGCGGGAGAGCGCAGGTTTCATACCGACCCGAAGGGATGGTGACAACCGCCGTTAAATCCATTCTGGTCGTCCTTTGTGTCAACATACGCTACAATTCAGTAGCTAAATGCCGATTGGTTTGTCTATGCATAGATTTGATGGGGTTGTGTGAGAATCCTGCTCATTCCGAGAGCTGGCTCCAAGCCTTTGAGGAGCAGGTTTCCAAACTTGGAATTCCCAATGAGTCAATGTACTAGCTACTTCTAGATGTCATGTTCCATACGCAACTCGACAAGATTGGGAGGGGGGAACGCTCGCAAGTACCTTAGTACGTCATTGATTCTGGAGTATTGTCTTTGCTCACCGTCCCACTGATTGCAATTATGGATGAAAGGCTTACAACTGGGCGTGAAATTCTCGCGGACAGGCCGACAATCAGTGACTCTGATGCATCGAGATTTGAGTCAATACAGGCCTAGGTAACTACAGAACATAGTCTTATGTAGGTACAGTATGTTGCACCAGACGCCACGTCCTCTTGAGCAACATTAGAGATACTTGACCTGCAGGCGGATGTCACACACTAAGGGCAGTAAATATTCGTAAGGCATGCCGTAAGGCCTGTAGTTGAAACATGAGCCATATCAGCCTGCAACATATTCACTGGCGTTCTACTCTGTTCCAAAAGAAACGGTAATAACATGTGTGCCGAGCCCTAGCTCACCGCTGTCAGCTTCGACTTGTGATTTCGCGACATCCATGTGGGGTCGCGTGTTTAAAGGCTAAGTGTGGGAGCCGTTACATTGACATGGCGGGATCTGCATAGCCGTCAGTGTTACAAGAAATAAGAAGATTGGGTTCATGAAGCCGAACTGGAAATTCTGAACCTTCGCGGGACTGTGCAAGAAGCCGCCCCGGGTATCGTTCCCACCCATGCTGATGTAGAATCTTTGTTGGGATTTGCTGTTCGGCACACGGCGCCTTCGGGCGCCGTTTAATCATAGAAGACTCATAAGTGCATGCGTCAAATATATACATCTTCCAAGTAGAGTGTTAAGCCAAGGCTGTATTGTGGCTGGTGCTACGTTGGTCCAACTTGGCAGTTGGCGCTTCTTTGCTACCTCGCCTCTTCGTGGTAGGTCTAATCGACATCGCGGATTTTTCGCTGTGTGGAAGTCCGAGAGTCCGAAGTTCAAGCATAGTAGTCAGGATTCTTAGCAAAGCTACTTAAGCACTTATAACCCTCCTGTACCACATCCTATATTTTTCCTATTCCATCTTTTTAAACCTATCCATCTCGATGCAGGTGGCGGCCGTCACGTCAACCGTGGTTCCTGCCCACGCATGAACGATGAAATGCCCGATGAGCAAGAGCTGGGGTTTTCACATGATGGGCCTAACAGCCAGAAGCCTATTTGTACTTAGTACTAGCTATCGGCGTCATCAGACTCCCATCACCGGAGCTCATTTCATCTTTGATAGAGCTTTGATATCATTCGGCGTGTTCTTCTTAATCGCCCAGATCCTTCCCCAGGCCCCTTTACGCTCGATTTTGCGATGGTTGTTACTAAGCAAATTCCCCCAGAGCTAAGAGCCGGCGGCCTGTTCCCCCGCAAAGCGTGGTCAAGCTCTTGCGTAAGATTTTCTTCACGCCCATGCAATCAGTGGATCTAACCGGCATGCAAACTCCGTCTTCAGGGCCACAATTGATCTCTCCACTGACTCTCTGCTCCATCGACTTTGCGGGGAGGAAGATTCGCATGTTCAAAGTACGTAACGGCATCGAAGATGACAACCGGCTCCGGCTCGATGCCTTCATCGCTTTCATGTACTGCGTGCAGTTTTATTACCAGGCTTGGAGTAGCGCTGGGCCATGAGCTTAACCTGAGTAAGGGTGCCCAGCGACTGGGTTCAGTGACATTCCCGGATAAGTGTCCGGCACTTGAATGGCCAGCCTAGCCATCCCTCCCCCCTGACTGGGAGATATCTCAGGGATCTCTGGTTGCTAGTGGCGATACTCATATCAAAAGGGATGATTCCCCCGCGACCCAAGTCGCACCATCAGACCATTGGGACATTGAAAGAGTGCCGCCGGGCATCTGGACTATAACAAGTTGGGGCCGCCGTCGGCGAAATTTATCAATGAAGCAGCAATTGGAATGACAATGGCTGCCGATATCGAAATCCCGTGAATGCCGCTACTGGATCTCTCGGGTACTTTCACGTAGCACCGGGCCGGTCGCGTTTGGATGTCTATCAAGACAGGCCCGCCTCGACTTTCCTCCCCAGAATTTCTCGAAGACCAGCAGCAGGTCCGTATGCATCTTCCTGACTCTCAACACGCTCCAAGCATGGATCGCGATACGAAATTCAACGACGAAAGCGAGGCTACGGCCCCCAATGTCAACAAGACACGATCGGCCGACCAACACGATGTAGCCATCAACGCGTCCGGCCACGTCCAGGAACTTGAGCGCAATTTCAATCTGCTCTCCCTCGCCGGTGTTGGCTTGGTGGTCGGCAATGTCTGGCCAGCGATCGGCGGCTCAATTCTCGTCGCCATCTTCAACGGCGGTCCCCCGGGCGTCCTGTACGAGTTCATCGCCGTGTCTGTCTGCTACTGGACCGTCGCCGCAAGCATCGCCGAGCTAGCAAGCGCCATTCCTTCGTCCGCCGGAGTGTACCACTGGGCCTCCGTCACACCCGGCCGCCGATGGGGCCGCGTCGTGGGCTTCTTCGCCGGCTGGTGGAACTACCTGGCTTGGATTCTCGGCGCGGCCAGCATGGCGTCCATTTTCGGTAACACGGTAGTCCAGATGTACGCGCTCAACCACGCAGGTTTCGAGGCCAAGCCATGGCACGTCTTCATCGTCTACATTATCGCGACATGGCTCGCGTGCACCGTCGTCTGCCTGGCTAACAGCGCCATGCCGCGAATCAACGACTTCGGTGTCTTTGCGATTGTAGCAGGTTTCCTCATCACCGTCATCACTGTAGCCGTCATGCCCGGTCGAGACGGACGGCCGCCGCATGCATCATCCTCCTTCGTTTGGACCGAGTGGACCGCCGACATCGGATATCCGAATGGCTTTGTATTTGTAGCCGGAATGTTGAACGGAGCTTTCAGTGTCGGTGCCGTCGATGCCACGACCCATTTGGCGGAAGAGATCCCGAACCCGCAGCGTAACGTTCCCATTGCTCTTGGGCTACAGCTGGGCATCGGCTTCATCACCGGGTTCTGTTATTTGGTTACCATCATGTACGCGATCAACGACTATGATGCTCTCTTCGAGTCTCCGTATCCCATCGCTGAGATCTACCGTCAGGCCACCGGCTCCGCTGCCGGCGCGACTGGTCTGCTCGCCCTCGTACTCATATGCATCGGTTTGACGCTTATGGGTCTATACATCACCTGTGGTCGAACACTATGGGCCCTTGCCCGTGACGGCGCAAGTCCCCGTCCCTCCCTCCTCGGACATGTAAGCCCAAAGCTGGGCATGCCCATGTGGTCTACAGTCTTGTCAGCCATCCTAGTCACGGTTCTTGGAGCAATCTATGTCGGCAGCACGACAGCTTTCAACGCTTTTGTCGGGAGCTTCATCCTTCTCTCGAGTAGCTCCTATCTCGCCGCCATACTACCTAACCTCCTTTCAGGGCGGAAGATGGTTGCGTACGGACCCTTCCACATGCGTGGATGGATTGGGTTCGCCATCAACGGCATCGCATGTTCTTACATGTTGGTGTGGTTCGTCATCTACTGCTTCCCTTTCGCTCTGCCGACCAATGCCCAGTCGATGAACTACGCATGCTTGATATGGGGCGGTTTCACCATATTCGTTGGTCTATGGTGGTTGCTGGGGGCAAGAAAGGGGTATGAAGGTCCAACAACGACGGGCAGTGCCGTAATAGAGGCAGCATCTCACCACCATGCAGCCTAAACTACTTTGTAGTCAAAAGTATGAATATCCTTCCAATTTCAATGACTTGTACCATACATATGTCTACAGCTTATGCGTCCCTTCTTGCAGTAGCCTTCTTGTGACTAGCACCAACTACACAGACATGCATACTCCATGGAGAGATCGCCGCTCTATCGAATATTCAAGCGATTTGAGCACAGATCTCTCCGCCAACTCAAATGTTTCCGCCGTGATGAGGAATGAAAGTGTCCGGACGAAAAATTGTCCTGTATCGATACGGGATTGATTCAAGGCAGTCGTTGCTTGACAATACGACGTGAAAATATCTAGTTCGTGAGACATGTCTTGCGACACCTCTGCCGACCGCTGTGGCAGCGCAGAATCGGTTTCGCTCGGCTCATGAAGTCGTCCAAGCTATCAACCATGTCATAGAAGTAGGAAGCTGCACCACAGCCCGTGTGAGATGATGCACAAGACTCCTCTACCTCTCTACTATCACCAACACGTAGAAGCAAGCGTTCAGATGAATATGTGTGTATCAGTGCTTTGACTTACCGGGGTTTCAGCAATGTTTCCGGGCGGAAGGTTTTTAGGTTCACGACGTGGGACAACGGGAATGGTGGGATTGAGGGGGAAACTACGCAGGCGGCGAAAAGATAGTCCGAGATGGAACGTCTACTAATACATCATTGACGGCAGTTGTCTCAACCAATCGACATCCACCCCAACATCCCGTCGCTCCCCCAGCTCTTGCACCTCCGGGCTTTCACCGGTACGAATTGATATAGGAAAGATCTCCCGTCAGCCAGCTAGCGTCAAGCATCTACCAAAATGAGAAGCAAGGCTACATCGTCTGCCCTCAGCTCATACAACGACACTGCCTATGCGTACAACCTCGGCACATTCCATCGCGCCGTGAGTACTTCGAGCCAGGATGCTCAAGTCTGGTTCAACCGCGGCTTGACGTGGGCGTATGCCTTCAACCATGAGGAGTCAGCGAGGTGCTTTCGGAAAGTCATTGAGAATGATCCCTTCTGCGCCATGGCTTACTGGGGACTCGCATTCGTTCTTGGGCCCAACTACAACAAGCCATGGAAGGTCTTTGATGGAGAGGATCTTGCCGATACGACCAAACGCGCACATCATACGATCATGCAGGCAAAGAGTCACTCAGGCAAGGCTACTCCAGTCGAGATTGCGCTCATTAATGCGCTGTCTTGTCGCTATCCGCAGGAGAAGCCAGCGGAAGATTGCTCGAAGTGGAATCAGGATTACGCCCTAGCCATGGACTCAGTACTGCAGACCTATCCCGATGACCTCGACGTGGTCGCCCTGTGGACAGACGCGACGATGAATGTTACGCCTTGGAAGTTGTGGGACTACAGGACTGGAAAGCCTACGCCAGGTGCCAGGACGTTGGAGATCAAAGATGTGATGGACCGCACTTTCAGGCTCAGAGGCTCTTTGCAACACCCAGGCCTCCTTCACTTATATATCCATCTGATGGAAATGTCACCAACTCCGGAAGCCGCCTTAACTATAGCTGATAATCTTCGCGGGCTTGTGCCAGACGCGGGACATCTGGAGCATATGCCCACCCATCTGGATATTATCTGTGGAGAATACCGTCGCGCCATCGCTTCCAACTCTGACGCGATCCGTGCCGACTCTAAGTTTCTCGCCCGCGAGGGTCCCCTCAACTTCTACACACTGTATCGGTCTCATGACTTTCACTTCAGGCTATATGCCGCCATGTTGTGCGGTCAGTCCCGGGTAGCCCTCATTACGGTGGAAGAGCTCGAGTCGACTATTTCTGAAGATCTACTACGAGTCGAGTCCCCGCCAATGGCAGACTGGCTTGAGGGCTTTCTGGGCATGCGAATGCACGCACTGGTACGATTCGGTCGTTGGGAAGCTATTCATGCTCTTGAACTCCCGCGAGACCCCAAACTTTACTGCTCAACAACCGCCATGACACATTATGCAAAGGGTATAGCCTACGCTGTGCAGGGCCGAATTGAAGAGGCGGAAAAGCAGCGCGTATTGTTCGCCGAGGCAGTTAAACGGGTACCGGAATCGCGCTCAGTCTTCAACAATACTTGCCTGTCGATTCTCTCCATTGCCGAGGCTATGCTGGATGGAGAGTTGGCGTACCGAAAGAAGGATTACGACGTCGCTTTCGCCCATCTGCGTAAGGCCGTGGAGAGAGATGACGCCTTGCCCTACGATGAGCCTTGGGGATGGATGCAACCAGCACGACACGCGCTCGGCGCTCTGCTGCTAGAGCAGGGTCATGTCGAGGAGGCAGCGGCTGTCTATAGTGCAGACCTCGGAGTCGACGAAACCTTACCCCGTGCTCTGCGGCACCCCAACAACGTCTGGGCATTGCACGGATTCTACGAGTGTCTGATGAAGTTGGGACGGGTTGATGAGGCCAAGATCCTCAAGCCACAGCTCCAGCTAGCTTTGGCCGTAGCGGACGTTCCTGTGAAGTCCTCATGCTTCTGTCGCTTGAAGACGGTCGATTGACAGGTGCGGTCCCTGAGGCCTCCATTCCAGCGTCGCCTCAGAGACCTTGAGAGACCACGTGCCAGTTTATGACACTGGCTTCCAAGCGAGGAAATTGATGGTGTAGTGAGATGGATCATGGGAATAGGCATCTTCAGACTGAAAAGGGCATTTAACGAAAAGAACATGGGCATCATAGGAAGGGCTGCCTCAATGGAAAGCATTCATTTTGTGCCTTGGCAAGACAACAACGAACTACTTTACTTACTAGAATCGCAGTCTGCTATAAAGACATGCAATGTTATCATATATCCAGGTTTTAAGTGAATGCTTTCTTGTTACGTGCGCGTGGCATTCGTCTTCTCTCAGTCTTATTAGTATCGCGATCAAGACTCCCTTTCTTCAAATATCTCATATTACAAATAGACCATAGAGAGATGAACATCACTCTTTATTTTAATTTGGAGAAAGTCGTCAAGTTTTAAATTACACAGAGTTCTCAGTTTGTCAGATTCCGGAGCAGAAGCTCAACTTGTGAATTGTCAGTGGAGTGAGCCAAGGGAACCTCCTAATGATTTACGGGCTTCATGCTGCCCATTAGTCTTACTAGCTCCGAAGAAAATGTGACCTCGCGTCTGCGGCGAGAACCCAAAGTACGCTGCTGTACGAGTAAATCAATGTGGCGCCACTTCACAAGCTTAGAAGATAGGAGAAGCCGGTGGGCAGCGGACTTCCAACTGCCTAATTGGCAAGGTCTAGGGCGAGGCCAAGAAGAATTGCCAAGTGATGTAAGTCTAAACCTTCCAATTTACCTTGAGTTACTCTCGGGGAGGGGCCACTATGAAACATCGGTAGTTATTAAATGAGAAATCTACCAACGGGTCACAGTCACAAAGAGCTTCGGGTCACAATTGCAATAGGTAAGGTAGTTGACTAAACTGAAAGAGCCAAACTGAAGCCATTCATGGAATAGAGCCAATACCTTCCGCTTCAATACTTCATTTTGGAACATCACAGTCCGCACTTTATGAAGACTTGGAAGACTGAATAGTGTAAGTATATACGTGGTTTCCCGGCTTTGTATGTATAAGTAGGTATGTACAAGAAGTCAAAATAAACTAGAGCTAGCCCAAAGCCGAGTGCTCCAAAGTTCCCCGGTATGGCCTCATAACCGCTAGGGGAATGAGCGTTGAGTTCTACAAAAAAGCATGCTCCATGTCCTTAGCCGGAGCAGGTGCCGGCCTTGGAGGGCTCGCAGCCACCAGCACAGCCGTTGTACATCTGGCACTTGGTCTTGGCGTCGGCGCAGACGTTCTTGAGGGTGGCGGTATCCTTGTAGGTCAGGTTGATTCCGGCCAGCTCTCCGCCGTTCTTGGCTGTGACGCCCTCCATGTACACATTGCGCTTGCACTGAGTTTTGCACTGTGAAGGTTGAGAGAAAGATATTAGCTGATGTTGTTGCGAGGCAGAGTAACATGTAATACGAAGGTTGACTTACGTTTCCGCAAGAGCGGTAGAGCTTGCCGTAGTCCTCGACATAGTAGTTAATCTTTGCCAATTGTTAGCATTGCTTACTTGTGCAAACTGTAGTTGATCGATGCTTACCACGTTGACGGTACCGCAGCCGTTGTGCTGAATGACCTTATCAGAGGCGTGGTACGCACCACCACCGACGATCCAGGTCTGGGTTCCGGCCTTGTCGTTCTTGATGGAAATAGCATCCTCGCAGACGTCTTCGAACCAGACGAACTCAAGCGTGCAGTGTCCATTGCAGTGGACACCCTCAGCTTGGTTCTTGCCAATGATGGCGTTCTTCAGGGTACCACCAGCCTGAATGTAGAAGACCGAGTCCTTGTAGTCTTTGATAGGGGGAACGTGTTAGGCGCTCATACATAGATAATGCGTGTATGGTGGGACAATGGCTACTCACCACCCTCGGACTGGCCACCGCAGGCACCGGAGCCGCGGTCGAAGCGCTGCCACTTTCCGTCGTAGACCTGACCAGCCTTGATCTCGATGTAAGACTTGGAGGTTACGGTACCGGTAGCCTTGGGAACACCACCAGTGTAGCCGTTGCAGGCGAGAGCGCCGGGAAGGGCGGCCAACAAAGGCACCAGGCCAAACTTAAGGAACTGCATGATGAACAAGAGTATATACACTCGCAGAAAAAAAGAATGAATGTAGTAGTTGGTTTAAAGTTGAAAGAAGGCGAGAGTGATGGGCAGAAAGACCTGGATGCGAATAGGTCGGACAACCCAAGGACTTATATGCAAACCTTCTCAAGACAGAGGTTCCTGGTTCACACAGATTCTGCCAAGGCTGAAAAGCTCACACTATCCCTATCGCAACTTGGCCACTCATCAGGAAAGTCTAGGCAAACTAACCATGTATCGCCTGTGTCAGGACTAGGTGAGGGGGGGTTCCCCAAGCCCGCGGCTGAAGAGACGACGGATCGCACGGGGATTCGGATCATTGGTGGACATATAAACAGGCGGGCCCGGGAGATGCCTGCATGGTTGCTTCTGCGCGATCCTTGTGGTCGCTGATGGAGTCACTTTGGAGATTTGCTCCGCGTACCGGCGTCTGCATTGGAAACTTGGTTTTGTTCTGGTCCCGCTGAGTGCTATACCTGGCAGTCACTTGTTATCAACGCTGCATGTAAGGGGCGGCACACAACATGTAATGAAACTGCTGGATTCAGTTGAACCAGAAGGAGCCCGATTTAAAGGAACAAGAAGCGCCCTCCACTGTCGAATCACAGAATTCTGCCATATTGTAGATTGCCACCAAGCCCTGAGTCTATGGTGCACCTGCAGATGTATGCAATACTTGATCGGATCACGGATGACGGTGTGACGGTAAGTTGTTGACCTCTTCGGCGTCCGGCCAGATGCGACCCAATCAGACGGCAGTCCCGACTTCAAAAAGAGATTAAGCTATGTGGTAACGAATCTAGGAGCCCGACGACCAGGTTCTTTGCGCAAGGAGCTCCTCTGACTTGGCCTCTTCCCAAGCAGCAGACGAATCAAGCGTGTCCAACGAAGGTGATACCGCGATCCTGCTGACATCCTGTCTCGGAGGTCACAACAATAGTGGTCTGTCGGCGAGCGTGGGATCAACGCGAAAAAGAGTCCATTCTATCAAATGGGTTGTTGTTGGTGGTGGTCTGTAAGGCGGAGTTGCCAAGACTCTTGTGTGCACAATGGGATGGATTGCCGCAGCTAACAACCTAGTCCGGTGCTGGATGTTGATTAATGCCAAGAGCCAAACTCGCCCCAAAGGCTCTTGTTCGAAAATTGCCAGGGGAGCTTTGCCCCGCACACCATCCTTTTGGACAATGTTCTTCCATCTTTTCTATGGTAGTCTTGCGAGGAAAAGGAACTCACCGATCCAGTTGTTGTTCAGGACGGACTCCCCTTCAGAGTACCGTCGGAAGCGGACGCAATCCACCGGCCCCACTGCGACCGAGACCGAGGACCCATGTCATGTTCTCCGGGAGTCTGTCTGACCATGCCTAACCTTATCTAGCACCCATGTTGCCGTCAGTGTTCGGCCAGCACGTTTGGCGGCTGTCATCTGAAGTTTTGAGGCAGCCCTCGCATACCCTTGCTGCCTTTTCCTTATTCTTTAGAATCCTGACCACCTACTATCGAGGTCATTGGGCCAACATTTACGATTCCCACGTGCCCAGCCCTTGGGACCTGCCTGTTGCCTTTTGCTCCTTTCAGGGGCAATTTCGGATTATCTCCCGCTTTTCCCACATCCGAGGATCCGTTTCTGAGGCTATGCTGGATGTCAACCCGGCTTCTCTCCGCAACGCACAGGCAGCCGGGCGAATCGTTCTCTTCCCGCCGCCTTGTAGGCGTTGAAAATGGGCATATTTGCCCACCTCACCGTATTATGGTACCCATCTCACCTGAAATCTTTAGACTGTCAACGGACGCTCCGTCAGTATTGACATTCTCGAGAATGGAGAACATGGCAATCACACAGTTCTTGGTATTCCCATCAGGAACCTACTTGGCGCTTCCAACTGAGCTTATCTCCGATGGATCTCTCAGGCTCGTCTTCAATTACATGGTCCGACATTCCATATCAGGGAAAGGGATTGACTTCTTCCTTTCAACGGCAGGCTCTCCCCTTTCCAAATATCCCACAATCTCTATATGCAGACTCAAGGATATTTGAGACAATCACCTGCATTTGGCTTAGGTCAAGACTTCGGCCGACTTTGTTGACAACGGACCCAAACCAGGACTGGCCGGACCCTCCCATGAGCTTCGTCCACACGATATCACTTACAGAATGGGATTCTCCACTTAAGCTCACGAGCTACATCTGTCAAATGTGCGGACTAGCGGCCTTCATGCGTGGGTCCCATAAGCAGCCGTGCTTGGAAGACCAAGTGAGGAGCTTTGAGAGGCAAAACACTCATTTTGGCTCTCGGGGGTTCCCCACTTTGTTTGCCGCTAGAGAACGAAACCTCCTAGCTTGAAGCGATCGAAAACTGACACCACGGAGTTTGGCAGAAAAAGTCGGATGTTGTCAGCCTTCGGTATCAGTCAACACCAAGCACCCATCTTGCGAGGACCTTCCACACTGGGCCTGTGATTGTCTGGCCAACTTCTTAGGTAAGTACACTACCTCCCCACAGGTCACATCTTCGAACTCATGTGTCCATCCTGGTGTACATGGTCATAAAGACTGCCTTATGTGATGCGATCCTGAGAAAAGAAGATGAGGGCTGAACTTCACTCATCCCTTTTTGAACCCTGCCGCCAAGCTTCCCGCAATACCACCGCCATGGATACCAAAGCCTTGGCAAATCTCAATCTTTTGCGTACATCTGGTGGCCACTGGCGAGCGCTCACTGCAGCAGCATTGCCACGTCCTTCTCTCAATGCCCACGCTGTCAGTAATTCTTTCTATACTTTGCTGGGCCTACCAATTTCCGTGGGCAACATGAACTGGCCGAAACTGGACCAGGATTTACTTATGAGTCGTTTCTCCTACGTGACATTCCCCTTAGAGTTCTGCGATCATAACCCGCAACCCACTAATTCGGATTCAAACTTCGATAACTGGGCCAAATGCACCGGCTTCAGCATGACCGGCTATGACAGATCTAAGAGCCGAGGTACTCGCCGACCAGAGGCCGGTCCAGACAACTAAAATGCTCGCCGTGATACCTATAGTACCGTTGCATCTCGAGTAAGTCCACATGACAAACATGTTTAATTATTCTCAGGACTTCTCGGTCGAGGTGTCTCTAGGATGCCCGTGATCCACTGCCTGGGATCTCCCTTTCAATTGGATTTTCATCTGGTCTAAACTCTATCGGTCGCCACTCTGGCGTTCAGGCGTGCCGGATCATCCGCCGGCCCCAGGCAGGGCGACCTAGATGAGTGATGGTGAGCAGGGTAAGCAAGGCATCTTTGCAGGGTAATTCTTCCCGCCGCGGCGTTTCTGCTGTCTGATGGCTAATCATACCATACAGTATGCCTATCAACTTGGAGAATAGCTGGAGAAGCAGTGGGAAATAAGTGCCTCTATATATAAGGTACCACGAGACCACTTTGCTTGATTTTTACGTTACCTCGTTGCACAATATTTCCATGCAGCCAAGGACCATACATCTATTCTGCTCTTCCATTTCTCCTTTCCTTAATGTACTCTTTAGTTGCCATCACATCGACATACGCTGAGGCTGGCTTCGCTTTCCTCTCTGACGTTAAGTCTCAAAATATAATTGTAGGTGCTTTAGACCTTAGTATTGTGTTATGTCTGGAGCCATATTTCCGTTCAAAGATCGGAACAGACACATCATCAGGCACTTTTTGGAACCGAGTCACTTCCCCATATTTCATCACAGACATTGACAGATGAACCGAAATAATAATCATAAGTACTTCTCTTCACACACGGTAAATCAATCACTCCATAATATCCATGATCCGTCTCGTCCGTTCCTTGATCGTGACGACCTCCTGTTCCAGGCGGCGTCTCAACTCGGGGTTCTCCTCGCTTTCTGTTGCAACATTGTCATGCCTGATGAGGTCAAGAACCGACGTAATCGCGGCCAACCCAGCACGGACGATAGCTTGTAGCTCGATCTGTACGTTATCCGCTAAAAGCCTCATTCTGCTCTTGAACTCAATCATGTGCTTCTCAAACAGATCCACGCGACCAACAGCATTGCGGATAATTCTTTTACGTCTCCCATCACTTCCTCCTCCTACATCCAGTGCGATTAACAACATACTCTAAGATCTGGGCTGTATGATCTCAACTTACCATATTCCGCGTTGCACCTCCTGTAAGGATCCTCCATCGCTTGACCAAGTATGGACGTCCGAATGCCGGTAAGTGCGTCAATACGTAGCGAGCTATTTCGAAGGTGAGTTTGAGACCTTCCTCAGAATATTGAGCTGCTTACTTCAAGTCAGCCCCGATTTGGTCGGTAAGATCCTCTACTTGGGACTCCATGATATTCTTGTGGCATATCAAAGTTTCTTGGAGGAGATCGGTGACTGCAGGAAAAAGCTCAAGCTCATTTTCTGACCAACATTAGCGGAGTGATCCCAGTGAATGATTGAAAGCTACTCACCAAGAAATTCCAGTGCCCAGTCCATCTGGCTCTGGATTAGACGACCGCCCTGCTCCAGTCTGGCCCAGCAAAAAGTGCACACCGAATCCCACTGAGGCGTCACATCCCCAGCCATGGTGCAAATCAACTCCTGATTCCAATCATGCCACCCGGCAATCTTGGTATGATGGTTCCCGAAATTGCGACAGAACGCTGAATAGGTTCCTTCACAAATTTCTGAGTAAAATGTCACCAGGCATCACTTGCAAAGTTATATCTTACCAGGCGCCCACTGAGATCCAATTAGCTAGGCACATGCGGAAAGAAATCGAGCAACCTACTGAATGCCATTCCAAGGCGGCATTCGCCGCTGCAGTCATCCATGTATTGTTGCGTCGATCTTAAACATTTGGAGTCAGACAGATTGATCGTCTGAGGAGCAGGTAGACCACATACTATCATAGACTCGCACCCTGAACTCATCTTTGATCGACGTCCCAACGAGATTAAGATCCGAGTTCCTTCGTGTCAATTCCTAATTAATACCGACTATCAGTCAAAACTCCAAAGGCGAAGAGAAATTGTCTTGCGGATTCTCTGACCCTCTTCAGCCGAGACTCAATCAAATCCAGCGTGTCTCGAATATGGAGCTTTTGTTCAGCACCGGCGCTTCCTGCACCAGACTCAACCCACAATGCAGCTTCCCCAAGTATAGCGGGAATGTCGTTCTCGATATATCTCTTGGCAATACTCAACTGGCTATCCGCAATAATGCCGAGGCAGTGCTTTCGCAGAGCAAGGATACCACTTAGCTGCAGTGATGGGAGGGCCACGTCTCTCGGTTTATGTCGTTCATCCCAGTAAAGGATGTTGCTAACGCAGAACACAGCCAGATTTCCGCCTGGAATCTTGTCCTTGTAAGTCGTTTGGAGTTGGCTGTCGACAATAGTGTTGCGGGTATTGATCAGATACTCTTTCAGCCTATTGTGAAAGTCGGCATGTCAGCTTGCACTGAGGCCAAGTTTCTGTACTTATTCGACAAGGTTGGCCGTTGAAGGCAGCGTAACTTACTCGAATAAGTTCTTCTTCAAAACTGCACTGTTAAGGCAATGCGAGTTAGCGATAGATGCAAAAGCCTCTGTGCAGACGAGTCTCACTTAAGTCGCCTATGTTCGCTGTGGAGTTGAATCGATTCTCTTTGTTCCTCGTCTGTCATTTCCGTCGTCTCTAACTCGTCAATTTCCGCTAGGCTAAGATTGATATTTTCAATCTTTGCCTGAGTGGTTGAGACTGCATTGCTCAGTTCCTGGATACGATTTGCATGTCGGCCGCGCCAATCCTTCATGGCTTCTTCAACTCGAATGTCCTGTGGCTCAGCCGTCAGTAAACCGCTTAGACATTATAACAAGGTGGGAAATTGGAGATTTTAAAACGTTCTCACATCGGACTTTGTGCAGACGATCCCAACGTTAGATAACCCTGCCTTCTGCGCAAGTTCAAAGACGCTTTGCACACCGACATCTGTAGTCGCCCTTCCAATGTTGCATATGGTAAAAATCTCATCACATTCGACCAAATATCTTTCAGTGATAAGTCTCCGTGCCGAGTTGGAGTCACGCAGTCCTAAAATCCATATATTAGGGTCACTTGGGCCGTATCAAAGGATGCTTCACCTTACCAGGAAGATCGACGAGGATTAAACCCTTACTCAGAATATGTGATGACAAGAAGACCCTGATCCCTGTTAGAAATCTTCACTCCCCGACCTCTGGAGTGAGGCAAAACTTACTTGATTTTACGGACGAAAGGCCAAACAGCTGGCGTTCGTGTATCTACCGACTCGGACGTCAGATACATCAGGAAAGCAGCGCAACTATCCTGCGAAGGCTTTTCATGTCTTCCTTCGAGCGGTAGGTCCATTCTTCGCAGCCAAGAACGAAAGGTTCTTAAGACAGTGACTTCCTCCTCATTGATAAGGAAGTCTTCGCTCGCCAGCTGACCGCGAAACATGGACCGAAAAGTGTCTCGAGCGACGTTGGCCTGCTCTTCAAAATCGACAACTGCTGCCGCTCCATCATTTCTCCTTAATTCTCCCGCGTTCAGATGAAACATTCGATAGGATTGAAGCAGTTGCTTTATCTGCTCCATGAGATCATCCTGACTGAACAATTCCACATCAATGGCGAAATCATCCCCGTCCTTATGGTGATACTCGGTAACAACGCAGGTGCATGCGGCCCCGCTATTGCTCTAGCATACGTTAACCGATGGCTGCGACTGTATGCAAGATCTTCTTTAACCTACCGTTCTAGCGAGGTTCTTTTGATCCAGAAGGGAGTTCAAAACGCTACTTTTACCTGTGCTCGTAAGATAAGGCCCCTTCGATCACAGTACTAGACGCTCACCAACGCCGGAATCTCCAACAAACCCAACTGTCCGCGTCGAAGGTCCTTCAAATTGGGACAGATCCATTGCTTGGCCATGTAGTCGTCTGATTGTTGAATCGGGGTTGGTGTGAAGAGGGTTTTCTTCAAGAACACCTGCCAACTGGGTCATCAATGCCTTTGCGTCCTTGATGGCGCTTTGGACCGCTGGGTCGTAGAAGCGACTCTCTGGCAGCTCCTCGTCCTTGACTTCATGATACACCAGCGTTGCTTCAGAACGCCCCCGCGATCGACGAGGGGGGCGCGGGCTCAAGGAGCTTTGCCTGAAGGCAGGCGTAGGATTGCTTGGTTGAGGACTCCGTCGTCCAACATCGTCGAACAGATTCGACAATGCGGCTCTAATCTCAGACAGTCCTCTCTCTACTGGTGTACGATCGAGGCGTTCGATAACCAGCCGATCCAGACGATCACTGATGCTTCCAATCTCGAAGGAATCTCGAGCTGGATGTTGTTCCCCAGGGAGACTATCAGCGGCCCTAAAGGGGAGTGGAGAGTGTGGAGCTGGTGTCAGTGGAGAGGTTGATAATGAGGCAAACCCTGGGCGAGTGTAGGTAGTTGGGGTACCAGGAATCGACGCTCCAGATAATAGAGGCTCGGCCCATGCCTCAGTCTCAATTGAAGGTATAGGCTCATCTGGAGACACCCGGCTCGGCAATCTTAGTTCCGGAAATAAGGTATCACTTCTGACGATAGATGGAGAGCGACTCGACTCAGGAGTGAAAGCTGGGACAGACGATCCCCGAGACGTCGTCGATGCTGCTACTGACTGGTGCCTGTTTGTAAATGAAGCTGGCAGAGAACCTGAGATTATTGATTCCTGAGGAAATAATGCGGTCCGAGGCGGGGGTTCAGAAGCCGCAGCCCTTGGGGGACCGGCCGTGGCCGAGGACGATTGCTAATGGTGATATTCCAACGTTAACTGAATGGGCTTCTTGACGGAAAGGATTGATACTGGGGTTTCGAGGAGAAGAACTCACGACTCTTGACATCCTTCGGAAACGGGCGGTGACACGAAAGAAACACGAGAGGCTGTAAATTCGAGCGCTTTGGTCGAGTGAGCGCGCTGCCCGTCTTTTCAAATACGTTGGTGCTCCGTTCCTTCCAAGCCGTCTCAATCACGCTAGCCCGAAAGACATAGCCTCATTGCGGTCGTATATCCTATTACAGAGACCGATTCCGTTGGAGATATCTATTCTGGTAAAGCAAAAGCACCCTCGCGGTGGGGGGATCATGCGGGCGAGGGCGGCGCAGACCTGTCCTGTTGGTTTCAGCTGCATACCCTGGGTCGTCGACCGAACCAACACGGATGGGCTAAGCGGGCGAAATAAGCGCCAACAGCTTCTTTGGACCATGATATGTGTGACACTGAGTCAGTCACTTGCAGGATTCTGATTCTTGGGTTGGATTCGGGCTCATTGTCACATCAACGAGTCGAGAAAGTCGAATTAGACTTGCAATTGCCAGGGCTGTCAGCTTTTGTTTAAATACACGGCCAGAAGGTCATCAGCGCTTAACAACATTTAATTTTCCGAAACTTGCCCGTGTACACAAGGCCATCAGGTTGCACGTACAACGTCGTAGGACCATGAACGGAAAAACTTTAGGTTCGTTGTTCGGCTCATATTCCTATGATGAAGAAACCCCAGCTCGGCATTGTGGAAGGAGAAATAGCCATAACTAAGGTCAGTGCCATTTTGTCTATGTTCTCTTTCCAAATTTGGCAGCTCCTCGTCTCCAAGATCTGAATTGAAAAATGTCTCAGCGATTGATCAACGTCTCTGGGACGCGTGACTTTCCTACGTTCTCTGTTCACTGTGTCGGATCCACGGTTTGAATAACTGCTAGTGAAAATCGACCCGTGAAAGTAAACGTCGGAAAACATCATATAGGAAGATAGAATCATGTAGGAATACCATTTCTGAGGAAAGTCTTTCAGCTTTTGAGAACAGGTGGTCGACTAGCTTTGAAGGCTCATCTTTGGCTCTGCCAATGACGTACTTCAAGGATTCATCAGCAGTCGGTGTCCATATACTCAACATACGGCGTCTATCTTCCAAATTCAACAAGTGCAATATATTTGCCTTACGAATTGACGTAATATTGGGACTCTAAGGATTTTCAAACAACCCAACTTGTTTGGCCTTTCGAAAATTAATGCACATCAAGCGTTCAACCAGCGAAACCTCAAAGGCTTGTAGTTTGTGTATCAAAGAGTTCAAATCACTGTTCAGAGGATGTGTTGTACCCTTCAACTGAGCTTCAACATCTCTAAATGAAGACGCTCCCAATAGCCAGCTAGTTTCGTTGAGATTCAAGCACCAAGTGACACGGAACTAAGCGTTGGCAACATGGTCTTCTTTCTTTCGAGTTCATTGCCTCCAAAACGTGTATGATTTTCTTTCGCGGCTCTAAGATTTTCTTCAGCGAAGACTTGATGCCGCAAGAATCGGTGACTCTAGTATCAACGCACGAGACTCTGAACTTGCTCATTCGACTCTCATCAAATTTCACAGTGAGCAGATGCATCCTGAATTATGTTGTTGTTGTTGTTGTTGTTGTTGTTGTATTTAACGCCGTGGCGGCCGGGCTAGAGCCCTTACCGCAGACCTCCCGAAGGGTATATGGCGTGGAGGGCCGTGAGCCAAGGCTACCTACTCTACAGTACGTCGTCTCTTTACATCGTCCTCCAAATCATGCCTTGTGGCCACTACGCGTTCTGTCTGTCCCCGGTTCCCGCTGGTGCCCCAGTTTCATTCTTTCCCAAATCGTCCCTTGGAATCGGGAGGTTCTTTGTAGTCCGCACTCACATCTACCTAGGTGTGGATGCTGCTACCGCAGACAGATCTTCTGGAAGAAGTCCGTCACGCGGAGAAAGGCCTCGAAGCCTCGTGGGTCGGTGATTAATCTCTTGAAGTAGGCCTCGAGAGATCCCATAGGACCTATGGGCTCGGGCATACTGCGAGAGTGGAGGGTCGGCCACCGTTGCCTCCTCGCCAGCGTTAGTCGACAGTAGACCAGGTGGTCCACGTCTTTCGCCTCTCCACAAGAGCACATCATTAGAGCGTCGTCGTGGTTGAAACGTCGGTGATATTGCTCGAAGTCCCCGTGACCCGATCGTGCCGCCAGCAGGTGATGTAACGTAGCCCGCGGCAAGGCCAGTTCAGGAGGGCTGGACAGAGCTGCCTCAAGCCCCAAGTCCGCGTACCGCGGCCTTCGCTCTTTATACCACCATCTCCTGTGCTGGCTTTGTAATTTTTCCCTTGCAAGCCGCTTGATGCCCGCTAGTGTTGCCATTTGACCCATCCGCGCCGGCAGTGTCGTTCCTTCTTTGGCCAGCCGGTCCGCGGCCTCGTTTCCTTCGATGCCCTGGTGTCCCGGGGACCAGTGCGTCCGTATATCAAATATCCTGGCCGCTTCTTGGATTTCGAGGAACGCGTCTTGTGACGAGTCCGGCGCCTTGCCGCGGATGCCTTGTATAACGCTGGTGTTGTCGATACATATGTGGATTGGATGACCGCGATTGGTGAGCAGAGCCCTTCTGAGGCCGGTTCGCGCCCCTTCGACCTCGGCGTCGAACACTTCTGCTAGTCCGAGTCGGCCGCACCCTTGCGCTATGCGTTTGGAGTCTCGGTAGATGACGAAGCCGTACCCCACGGCTCCGTTCGTCGCCCTGGAGCCGTCCGAGAAGACGATCATATGGCTTTCCGGTACTGTCTTTAGCCAGCGCTCGAAAGCTTTCGCAGCCTCTTCTTTGCATTGAACTACTATCTGATCCTGTGAGCTTGGCAGGTACTGTGATTGGAGGAACGTTGGTCTTCCGCATC